AAATGAGAAAAAAACATTTCGCGAACACTTGGCGGGCGATTTCCGACTTTATGCCCGAGCTCAAATGGTGAAAACGATCTGTGAACGTTGCACTTTTTGCGATGACATATGCTGTATGTAGAAGTTATAGGCTACCATAGGTGTGTGCTCCTGGTGAGTACAACCCCAACAGGTACATGTTCTAGGTTTCTCACACTAGTCATTCATTCTCTCTTTCTAACATAGTATCATGAGAAGGTTAGGTTCCTCTCGCCCGCCCACGCTTCTGCCCTAGGCCCTAGTCGCCCTCGTGACCCGCCCTTAGCTGGCCCCCTGGCCGTCGCGCCCGCCCCTAGCCGGCCCCCTGGCCGTCGCGTCCGCCCCTAGCCGGCCCCTTGGCCGTCACGCCCGCCCCTAGCCGGCCTCCTGGCCGTCGTGTCCTCCCCTAGCCGGCCCCCTGGCCGTCGTGTCCGCCCCTAGCCGGCCCCCTGGCCGTCGCGCCGGCCCCTAGCTAGCCCCCTGGCCGTCGCGTCCGCCCCTAGCCGGCCCCCTGGCCGTCGCGTCCGCCCCTAGCCGGCCCCCTGGCCGTCGCGCCCGCCCCTAGCCGGCCCCCTGGCCGTCGCGTCCGCCCCTAGCCCGCCCCCTGGCCGTCGCGCCCGCCCCTAGCCGGCCCCCTGGCCGTCGCGTCCGCCCCTAGCCGGCCCCTTGGCCATTCGTGCTCGCTCCTAACCGGCCCCCTGGCCGTCGCGCCCGCTCCTAGCCGGCCCCCTGGCCGTCGCGCTCGCTCCTAGCCGGCCCCCTGGCCGGTCGCGCTCGCTCCTAACCGCCCCCCTGGCCGTTGCGCCCGCTCCTAGCCGGCCCCCTAGCCGTCGTGCCTGCTCCTAGCCGGCCCCCTGGCCGTCGCGCTCGCTCCTAGCCGGCCCCCTGGCCGTTCGCGCTCGCTCCTAACCCCCCCCCTGGCCGTCGCGCCCGCTCCTAGCCGGCCCCCTGGCCGTCGTGCCCGCTCCTAGCCGGCCCCCCAGGCCGTTCGCGCCCGCTCCTAGCCGGCCCCCTGGACGTCGCTCCCGCCCCTAGCCAGCCCCACTGGCCATCGCGTCCGCCCCTAGCCGGCCCCCTGGCCGTCGCGCCTGCCCCTAGCTGGCCCCCTGGCCGTCGCGTCTGCCCCTAGCCGGCCCCATGGCCGTCGCGCCCGCTCCTAGCCGGTCCGCTGGCCGTTCGCGCCCGCTCCTAGCCGGCCCCCTGGCCGTCGCGCCCGCTCCTAGCTGGCCCCCTGGCCGTTCGCGCCCGCTCCTAGCCAGCACCCTCGCCGTCGTGCCCGCTCCTAGCCGGCCCCCTGGCCGTTCGCGCCCGCTCCTAGCCGGCCCCCTGGCCGTCGCGCCCTCTCCTAGCCGGCCCCCTGGCCGTTGCGCCCATTCCTAGCCGGCCCCTTCTAACGCCTGCCCGGCCTGTTCCGCCCGCCCGTCCCACACCGCCCGCCCGGCCCCACCCAGCACCTGCCCGGCCCCGATACGCTCACTCGGCTCCTGTGGCCCGCAGCTCCCAGTGCCTGCCCGGCTCCTGCGGCTCTGTGTCTTCTGCTCGGCACGGTTCCTCGAGTCTCCGGCCTCGTGTCTTCTGCTTGCTAGCGCTGGAGCGTCCTGCCGACGTCCCCCTGGAGCTGTGCTGCTGTGTCCCTGTGCCGCTGTGTCCTGTGGAGTAGTACCGCTGTGTACCTGTGTCGCTGACCCTGCACTATGGCTGACTTCGTCCTCCGCCTGGACGCTGAGGGCCATGCGGTTGACTTCGTCGCCTGGCAGTCCGATCTCCGCCGTCAACTCACAGGTCAGCGCCGGGATGGGCACTCCTTGGTTCTCCATGCTGATGGCTTGCTCTCCCGCCCCCCTACGCCTACTCCCCTCCCTGCTGACCCCACCTCTGCTGAGCGTGAGACTTTCTCTGCTGCTGCACTTACCTGTGCCGTCTGGGACTCTCGCGATGCAGTTGCTCAGGTCGCTATCAGTCACGCCCTCCCTGTGTCTGAGCGTTCATGTTTTACTATAGTTGATACAGCCAAGGCTTACTTAGAAGCTGTTGTTGCTCACTATTCCATGCCTGCCTCCGCTACTGCAAGCCGCCTGCTTTTCCCTATGCTTTTCCCAGACCTTGCTTCCTTCCCTACTGTTGCTGACCTTGCCACTCACCTGCGCGCCCTAGAGTCTCGCTACCGCACTGCTAGCACTGCTGCCCAGCTCACTGCGCTCCCTCCCCCCTTCTGCATGACCCTCTACTTTATCGCTATGCGCCTGCTTGACCGCCTTGCTAGTGCACGCGACCACATCCTTAGCCAGCACCCGGGTGATCTCACCTTGCCAGACTTTGTCACCGCCTTGACCGAGATCGAGACTCGCCAGCGCACTATCGCTCAGTCGAGCGGTGCGCCGGCAGTCTCTATCTTTCACGCCTGTGCCCCCTCCCAGTGCACGTTTACTGACGTTTCGGCTGCGATCGCCACTGTGACCCCTGTGACCGAGACTGCATCTGCAGTACACCCGCAGCAGCGCTCGCGCCGCGCCAGTCGTGGCCGCCAGGGAGGGCGTGGTGGTGGAGCTGGTGGTAGTCGTGGTGGTACCGGGGACAGTGGTTCTACTGAGGGGACTGCCTCAGCTAGTCAGGAGCAGCAGCCGTCGCCCCAGCAGCAGGAGCAGCCGCAGCAGCCGTCGCAGCAGTCGCAGTCGTCGCAGCAGCTGTCCTAGCCCCAGCCGTGGGCTCGTCTCCCCCCGGGACGCCCGGCACCTCCGTAGGGGGTGGCCGTGGTGGCGGCCCGCACAGCTTGGCGTCTACCGGCAGCTCCGTTGGTGGGACCTGCCAGTACTAGCTTTAGACCGGGCCTCTCCACGGTACGCTGTGCCGCCACCCGCACCCGACCGCCCGCTGTTTCCGCCGCCTCGACGATCTCTTTCGTTGTCGCTTTGGCCCGGCCCCGGACTCCCCGAGTGGCACAGCCTGTTTCACCAGGGCGTGCCGATCTTTGATTTAGATATGGATCAGATAGGTGCTAATTTGCATGCCTTGTATGCTGACGCTTCTAGTGTTGCTGGATCTTATTACCCTGTGTACTCTAGTTTAGGCGTAGCACCTTTGTGTAGCTTAGCCTTCCCTGCTGCGTCAGGCGTAGGACTGCCTAGTTTGCCTAGCCTAGGTTCTGCACCGGCTCCGTTCCCGGCCTCCGCTACTGCCTCACTGTCCTTCACTCTCGACTCCGGTGCTTCTTCCTGTTTCTTTCGCGACCGCTCCACGCTCACGCCGCTTGCTGCGCCTGCTGTTGTCGCTCTCGCTGACCCCTCCGCGGGTCCTGTCGTCGCTCGCAGCTCCACTTCCCTTCCCTGTCCAGCCGTTCCCTCGAGCTCTCTTACACGCCTCCACGTTCCCTCGTCCTCCAGGAACCTGGTTGGTGTCGGCCGTCTTCAGGACCTCGGCGTCACCACTACGTTCCCTGGGCACGAGCGGTTCGCTGTCTGTACCGAGGCAGTCTCAGGTTCCCCCCTTGCGACGTTCCCCCGGGACCTGGTGTCCGGTCTGTTTACCCTCGACACCGCTTCCCCCCCGGTTGGTGTCGCTGCAGCTTGCTCGTGTCTGTCCCTCGCACACCCGTCCCTTGTGTGGCACCACCGCTTAGGTCACCCTGCTCTCCCGCGCCTGCGTCACATGTCTCAGCACGGTCTTGTCTGAGGCCTCCCCGAGTCGCTCCCCGCACTTCCCCCCTTGACTGCGCCACTGTGCACGCCTTGCGTCAAGGGCCGGCTCCGCTGTGCCCCTCACTCCTCCTCGCTTCGCCCTGCTACTGCTCCCCTTTAGACCCTGCACCTGGATGTTTGGGGCCCAGCCCCCGTCCCCGGACCGCGTGGTGAGCGCTATTTTCTTGTGCTCGTCGACGACTACACGCGCTACACCACGGTGTTTCCCCTGGAGCGGAAGGCCGACGTGCCGGACGTTCTTCTCCCGTGGGTTGTGGCTGCGCGTCTTTACCGCGGTCTCCCCTTGTTGTGTCTCCACTTTACCCTCTCAGCATCCTAGCTCCCTTTGTGGCCACAGGCAGACAACGAGCACAGCACTGGTCGGCCGCTAAGAGGGTTTTGCGATATCTAGCAAGTACATCAGGCATGGGGTTAGTGCTAGGAGGACGCAAGCCGGTGGTCCTCACTGGGCACACATACGCTTCTTGGGCAGACGACTCTGAGACACTCAGGTCGTCTCAGGGCTACTGTTTTAGCATTGGTTCGGGTGCTATCTCTTGGAGATCCACTCACTCGTCGTCTGTTGCTCAGTCCAGCTGTGAGGCCGAGATCTACGCCGGTGCCATGGCGGCACAGAAGCTCCGTTGGCTAACCTTCTTGCTCACAGACTTAGGTGAGCGGCCTAGCTCTGCCCCGGTCCTGTACGCTGACAACAGGGCCATGATTCTCCTGTGTCAGGAGCCTCGGCTTGAAGGCAGAGCGAAGCATATCCAGCTGCGGTACTTCCTCCTGCGTGAGCTACAGCAGCGTTGCCAGGCCCGCGTAGTTCACTTGGCCTCAGGTGCCAACACAGCTGATATCTTTACTAAAGTGCTTGCGCCTATAGATCATCAGAGGCACTGTTTACAGCTTGGTCTTGTTCCTGTAGCTACTCACCTGTTAGGACCTTGATTGTGTACTCTCTATTATATATACCTGTCTGACTGGCGTTGTAGCCTTACCTCCAGTGGCTGGACTAGTAGTGCCGCCCTGGCTTGCTTTAGTCTTGCTTGTACTCTTGCTGGCTGGTCTCAGGACCCCTACCTCAGTGGTTGGACTAGTAGTGCCACCCTGAGATGTGTGCTTCTTGCCTAGCACCAACCTCTCTCTAGCCTAGGGGGTGTGTCAACTTATACATATGCTATATGTAGAAGTTATAGGCCAGCATGGGTGTGTGCTTCTTGTGAGTACAACCCCAACAAGTACATGTTTTAGGTTTCTCACACTAGTCATTCATTCTCTCTTTCTAACACCTAGGCTCCATAATTGTTTCACCCAAATAATGTCTAAACAGTCAATTCAATCCTTTCAGTCAAACAGTTTAATGGCATGCTTCACTAGAGTGGTTACCACATAAAATAACTCAAAGCCAAACCCCCTTTTAACCCCAAATTCATTTCAGCCTATCTAGGGCACACAAATTGACTTGGATTTTATGGTCCCAACACAAAAATTGCCATTATATTTGTTGAATTCTAAACTTGCTGTAGCCGTATTTCCGCCATAGAAACGGTAGGCAGCTGAACACGTCATCGCTGGTGATACTTTCTTGAGCCTGCCCTTGTTGCACATGCCAAATTTGAACGACCAATATTCAGCTCTGAGACAAACCTGGGATTGCAAAATGCAAGGGAAACAAATAGCATAGACATATTATGGCATCAGGGGGAGACAAAACCATACAGGTGAAAAGGACTAGAATGCGAAATAGAGGGAGGGCAACAAAAGACACACAAAATGCCTCTGGTAGTGAAGGATGCATGTCAATATGAGTGTTTTACTCTTGAACCCAAATTGTAATATTGAGTTTGGGCTCCCAATACAAGAGGGATACTGAACGTGGAGATTGGTGATGAGAGTGGCATAAGTAGTTGAATGCAAGATTTCATTCTCTTAAACTTGCTCAGAGGCTACAACACATGGAGGGTGGGTAATGGCAATTGCTTTGAAGAATCCATGCAAACCGTAAAGTTAGCACTCCCCCTTCTCAGGCCAGCCCCCCTTCCCCTTCCATTGCCCCCATGACCAAGGCTCTTTTCCAAAGTCTCTTACCTGCACGCCAATCTTGCTGCCGACAACTGAAACACTGGAGGGAATGGTGCTGGAGCAAGTGAGGCCAGGATTGTTGCGGAAGAACTCCACCCACGGGTTTCCGAACAGCTCAGGCAAGGGATTTTCTTTAAAAACAGCGGTTCTTCTAAACAGCTGCTTGCACGTGTCCTGAGGTGTCAGCACGCCGTATCTCACACACTCCGGGACAGTGAAGGCGAGGGCAGCATTGCGCTCGATGCACACCGAGCGGCCCGCCTTGATGGGCTTCGAGCAGTCAAAGCCGGGGTTGAGAGCGGCAAAGTCCGCTGAGGTTAGGTTGAGCTGCTTGGTGATTGATGAACAGGTGTCGCCCTGGAGGATTTAACACAGGCAGGAGCATGCAATTGTGTAACACGATGTGCTGAGTGGACAAGACGAGTTGGTTGAGTGCATGGTGTGATGCACACACGAGGGCACCATATCTCACATTGAGGGTGTAGAAAAAGGCAGTGCAGGGTGTGGCCAGAATGCCATCCAATTGAAGGACAGTAGCCTTAGGCAATGGCTGGCGGCAATCAACGGCCTGCATGGAGAAGTGAGTGCATGAAGGAAAGAGATCAAACTGCTGCCTAAATACCGTTGATATAAGAGGGGAGACGGGCATGCATATTCCACACATGGCACATAATGAAGGTGTCCAATGGGGGCTATGCAACACTGGGCATCCCACTGTGCATAAATAAAGTACTTTCCTATCCTTCCCCGTCTTCCTTCATCCCGTTCTTACCTCGTTTTGAATTGTCAACTGATTCAAAGAGAGACCAACAAGTTGACAAACATCCAAACACCACCAGTTGTCTCCGCTGACTGTAATGGTGGTGGCTGTCGTGTTGGCTGAAGACATGACGACCATGGAGGCATCGCGAAAAAGAAGAGAGAAAAGAAATCCTTGGGCGAGAGGAGATGCAAGGGTCGCCACATGCTGGAAAGACATGACACAAGGTATGTGTGGAACCTTTGGAAAAGGATGCAATGACTTAGTCAAGGCCACCGACTCTGAAATCGGACACAGTGATATGCTTCAAGCCAAGTGAAGCCTCACCTGGATCACAGGCAGGGAAGTCGTAGACCGTCTTGCTCTCGATGTAGTTGGGAGGGCAGATGCAGGAGTATGCACCCTTCCCGTCGTTGATGCAAGTGCCCACGTAGCAGGGGTTGCTGAAGGACGACCCACACACGTCCACTGCCACGTCCACAATTGCATTCAGATGGTGAATAGAATGGACATTGAAGATACATGGAAAGCAAATATGGGAGGGAGATACCAGAGACTGGGAGACCACGGGGCAGATAGACTTGTAAATAGAGCAGAGACAGACATCCCCAGTTGCCCACAGGCCCTTAGCCACTATACCAAGGCCCCTACACAATCTGGAGGGAAAACACTTGGTATACATGCTTCGCTCGCTAACTGTTGCGTGAGATCAATTCCTGAAAGCTGGGAGTCTTTCGACAACACACCTGCACCAACAACCGAGTCTTACCGTAAGCACATGTGCTGGAGCCATATCCATTGTCGACCTCAACAAAAGGCTGTGTAGCCACTCCAGAAATACTGCAACTGCAGTTGTTCTTGTTGTCAGTAGTCTTTTGACAGAGGAAGCGGCCGCACGGGGTCATGCTGCGCTGGTAGCTGGTAGTGCCGCAGGGATCCCCTGGAACTGGATGATTCCACGGAGAATACAGTTGAATAGCGTGAAGATACACAGCTAATGCCAAACTACAAGACACACAGCAGCGAAGTTATGGACTGTGCAGTATAAGCAACGATCATATACTATCAAGTTAACAGACACCTTCCAGTTGGGTTCCATCCTAACCACCAGTAATGTTTGTTCTAACAGACCCTCCAGTCAATCACTTCTCACCTACCAAAGCTCGGCTTGAGGAGTATCCATAGTAGGAAATGGGGGGGTCGGATGGAGGGGAGGGAGGGGGCGCTCGAGGAGCCAGCTGGCTCACAAGCCTCTCCTGTCTCGATCGATTGAACTGGCTAGTGTGGATGAGCGAGTCAAGACACAGCCCGTGCCCACTCTTGCCACCGACCTGGATGACTAACTCTTGCCTATCAATGTACTCACTCTTGACAATGGGGTAGATGCCAGGCAGCACGTTGATGCCACACACGCCATCCCCTGCCTGAATGTCCATGCGCATGTGGCCCCTGTCGCCCCAATCCACGCCCCACGAGTTGCGGATGATCCAAAACGGGAAAAGAATGCGATTCTGCCTGCCGTCGTTCCTATCGATGAAGAACCCAATGATGAGTACAACATGGTTCAGATTGCCAGTGTAGCAGCCAGGATCTTGGTATTTGAAAGTCTGCAGCAAAGTGGGAATAGAGAATCAATAAAAGTTAAGTCACCTCTCAGCATTGCAAGAAGACGTTGATAAAACATGGTTGTAACCCTACAAAATGCTGGCAACAACTGTTTGTTGAGGAATGATGTGTGAATGCATGCTGGCCATGCTAACTGAGTGCTGCAAGGACTCACCCCATCATAGCTGACGAACGTATCAGCAGAAGCCTCGATGTGAACAACCACTGGTTGGCGCTGCACCGCCTGCATGAGCCCCACATACCCCTTGAATTGCGAGCGCTCATATGCCTGCACTGGATACTTTGTTTCCTGGGACAAGGGAAGGGGGGAGAGAGGGGATGGGGGGGAGGTTTAGAGGGTCCTGGAGTCATAAAACGTGTTAGAATCGGGTACAAGCACCACACCAAACAAGCAGACAACACCACACCACACCAGGTGAACACCACACCACACCACACCACACCATGTTCCTTGAGAGAAGAGAATGAATGCAGATGGAAAACATAATCGAATGCAGCACCAAACAAGCAGTCCCTTAAACATTTATGGCCCAACAAAGAAAGGAAAGCTGGTGTCTTGAATCATGCTCGGTTAGTTGGTTGAGATGTCTTGGCAACCACTTTATAAAGACTTGGAGGGCAAGCCAACACCAAGTATTGTGCAGTGGAATCCATACACCTTGCATCTCTCCTTACTCCACCTTACCTCACTAATCACCTCCTCATTTTTTCATCCTACCGGGTCGCTGACCCCTGTGAGTCCACTGCTGCCATCAAGAGTGACCAGCTTCTCAAAGGCCTCGGTGGGGGAGCATCCAGCCGTGCACTTGTTTGTGTCGGTCAGCCCCATGGCTGCAAAGAGGGCCTCCACTGACAGCTGGGGGGCGCTCTGCTGTCTTGCAATACCGTATGCTGCCTCCACACTCGCCACCACTGCGTACGCCCAAGAGGCATCTGAGAGGAAGAAAAATGATAGAGAGAAGCAGGGCGGCGAACATGTAGGGACGGTGGCACTCACCGCGTCCAGCAGTGCTACACGTGCTACAAAGACATTTTTCCTCAACCACAAGCAAAGACACTATAATGAAGTCTGCACGAAACAAAGAGAAGCGTCAGAAGCGTCATGGTATGCAGCAGGTAGTGCAAACCACAGCGTCGAACAGCACACGGCATTACTTGACCTTCAATGCGTGATGTGATCCCAGGCCGGGAAGAGCCACATATGAACAAAACCACATACGGCTACAAAACAAAAACAGCATAGTGGAATCAAGAAATGGTCCAGTAACTGAACTGAACGGATTCTCAACCACGTGCACTTGAACTTGCCATCCACTTTCCACTCACTGCAATCGATCTGGTTCTTGACGGGCCAGCCAAGGAACGGCACGGAGCCCCAGGAGTGGAAATCACGGATGACCCACGAGTCCTGCGTGTTCGCCGCCACACTGAAGCCCGCACTCATATAGCGCGAGAAGGGGCTGGCTCGAGGTGCTGAAAAAGTGGCTTCTGATAATGAGAGGCCAAGGGCTGCGAAGGCAGTGAAGCAAGGGGTGGATGAAGGGGTGGATGAAGGGGTGAGAGGTGATTGAGATGAGAGGCATAAACCCACAAAGGTTTAGCACAAATCATTGTTTATCACGTACCCAAACAATGCAAGAAAAGCTATTGAGCTATTTCACCACCTGGGTTCCTAGCTGTCCTGTTAGTTAGCTTTTGATCGTCACATGTCAGAAAGCTCACCTTTGCCTTTGATCTGGACAGTCGTGGTTGGAGGAACGGCTGTGAGGAGACAAGCAACGCAACAAACAACCATAGAAGCGGCAAACTGATGGTAAGGAAAATGCTCTAGGAGAGCCATGAGCCAAGGAAAGAACTACTTGCATGTCAGGCAACAACAAGAATGTTTTAAATAGCTGCTTTTCGTCAACAACACCACCACCCTGCCATATCCAGCCATGGCTGGTGTGGTGAATCAGCATCATCAGTGTTTTTCGTGAAAGAATTGTGGTTACGAATCTTACCCTTCAAAAACTATTGACCTCTCCAACAATGCAAAACTAACACCACCAGCCTTGGCATCTCAAATGCTCTCATCATTCAGACAGCCATCACCACCACCCCACTCGACATAGGCTTACCTGTTTGCACGCCAGAGCGGACAATAACATGCATCTGGAAGGGCTTCACAATGGTGGATGCCACGAAGCCAAAGAAGAACGCCTGCTGCTGCGCACTAGCCTCCAGCACCGAACACAGCGACAACTCTCTCTGCAGCAGCGGCACCTGTGGCTTCGCCTTGGAATCGGCTAGGAACACCTTGATGGTGCCATGATTCCCAGGCTCATAGTCCACCCATGCCGTGTACTCGTTGATGTCTGTCAGACTGAATGGTGACTCCACTGAAACCAATGATTCCTCCATGCCCTTAATGTTGAGCCCCACATGCTGCCCACTCGTATCACTGTGCTTGGCGTTTTGAAGTGTGTCGAATTCAACTGCTACACTCTGTGTTCCGACTCCACCATACCCTACACCATCAGGCTTCCCCACCATGGCCTTTGCTGCAATCACGAATGCAAAGCCATTGGACCCAACGGTACCAGACTCAGGAACGAGGGCAAATGTGAAGTTGACACTGAAAGCCAACTCCACACCACACCCCAAACTCGGACCACCCGGGTATGCAAACAAAGTCACCGGCTTTGCCATGAACCTCCCCACTGTCTCCCGCTGTGACCCCTTGGTGAGCAAAGTGTATGGGGAGAGAATGGGCTTGTTGATCGAGAAGCTTCGATTCCATCCTGAAATAATGCAGTGAATGGCAGCAGAAGATAAAGAATGTACAACAGCATGAGGGTTGGAATTTTTTTGTTTCTGGCAAGGTGTGTGAAGTAAATCACAAGGTTGGCTCTTTGAGGCTGGATGAGCGAAGTTGAATGGATCCTGAATGACGCAAAGGCTGCGCACTGATGATTGATGAGCTGAAGCATATGCATACAGAACAAAATATGTGATATGGTGCTATTGCGTGGGTGGTGCTAGTAGAATGCCGAACTTATTTGGTAAAGCAGCAGGGGCATGCGCTTTACAACAGGGCAATGGAGGCATTGTGTGAGGCTGGAAGACTTGCAACAAAGCGGCGGAAAGGAAAAAAGTCATGATGGAGATGATGAAAAAGATTTCTAAGCACAGACAGGAGTAAGGTCTCTGTTTATGCCAGCGGATGTGCGTATAGTGTATTCTCAGAATGTCCTAGATCCTAGGTACAATTTACCTTCAGCAGCACAGGCAATCTTCCCATGCTGCACGAATCCCGGTTGACACAAGCACGTTGGCACCAGACTGGGCCCATCTGGGTAGCACGTGCCATGCCCACCACAAGCAGCAGAAGTGCCAAAGATGCCGCAGAACGCCTGGCACTCTGCTGCAGGCCGCTGTGTTCCCAGGAAGCGGCAGTCCTTGTGCACTTTGAAGCAATTAACAGAGTTTCTGCGGTCAGGGCAGTCGAATCTTCCCAAGAAACCTGTCAAGTAGTTGCTCGAATAGTCTGCAAAGAAAGATGGAAGCTGCACCATCGAGCCTGTGAGGTAGTTGTGGGAGAAATCACTGCCAGGGGGGAAGAAGGAAACGGCGACGCGAGCAGGAGACAATGTTGATGACGGCACTTCTGGTGGCAGTGGCAAAGCAAGGATAGTGCAAGTAGGAGAGGATCAGGATGCAATGGAAAACAACTGATTGCTTCCGTTTGAACAGGCTGTAAAGGCACAGCTAGGGACGTTTCTGCAAATGAAACAGTTGCAATGGCGTAGCGAGTTGGTACTTTCCCAAAATACTTAGCATAAGAGTTGCATAATAGAATGCGAGAGTGTGCTGAAAACATCACGGGGGAATACACGCATGGGTATGGGATGGGTCTATCAGCAAATGTGTGAACAAAAATGACAGGAAAAAGGCATGAGTGCTTCTCATCCAGTGAGAGCAAGGGATGGCGTGCTGCCGTACCACCACATTGTCAGTTGTGTCATGCTTGCGAGAATAGCAGGTAGGCTTCCATATAGCTGGTTGTAGGCGAGTGACCTGATGGTCGTGAAGGAGAACGGGGAAAAAGAAACAGGGTTATGAGTCGGATAACGAGATGTGCAAAGCTCAAAATAATCTAAACGTTTTAATCGGCGAGAGAGGGGAGCAGATGGGGGAGTGTGGAATGGTGTGTAGGCAGAGAATGTTTAACCGAGTGTTACACAAAGTGCCAGAGCAATTTGCACAGAAAAGTTGTCAGGTTCTGTATAATGTAGCGTCTCACGATGCGGAAATGTGTGCCAGCTTACAGGTATTCTAGTGAAGTCAGTTTGCCAATCGCATCAGGAATTGCTCCAGAAAGATGATTGCTATGCAGAATTCTGGAGACACATGCGGGTGTGATTGTGGTATTGCGAAGATCATAGCAGAAATCAAACAAGGCAGATTGCCACTGGGCTCATGACGCTCACACCATGAGTGGTGACATGCGAATTTGAGAGGCACCGAGAGGGGTGCATCGAGGTTTGGAGGCATGCGCGAATTAGGACATGCCACTGTGTGGGAACGCTAGTTATGCAGGGAAGTTCATCAACACGCAACTCACAACGCTCGAAGCTTGGGAAGTTGGCCGATTGACGGCGAGATCGGCCCTGTGAGCTTGTTCATGCTGAGGTCCCTGCAGAGGTGCATGCAGCAACAAGAGGGCCACCTTCTCACTGAATGCCATCTGCAGCAGATGGCGTGCATGGGAAGAAGCTCCGTGCAAGTACAAGATGAGCGCAAGCATTGGGAAACAGAATGGGGATGGGTGTTTGCTTCTTACAAAAACTGTAGGGAACTGATCGAGTAGATTGATTCAGGTATGGCGCCTTCCAGCTCGTTCTGGTATAGGTATCTGCCATGCAGTGTCAATGAAGGTGTCCTAAGGACATGAGCAGGGCTGGAAGCAGATTCAAGCACAGTCAGTTGCAAGGGATTCATATAGCCTGTCAGTCAAGCCCAAAACCTACCACATTCTTTCTCTTCCGGCATTCCTCAAACCATAATCGAAATCAAACGAACACCAGACGTGGCGTTAAATGACCCAGGCTCTCTCTCGCTTGCACCTCAACCTGTATTCCTTGGTCGAACTTGTTCTTTCCCCTCAATGCTTGGGATCAGATATGAACATACGAGCGAGCCAGCCCCTGTTCAGCTCGTCTTGGGCTGAACTCAAGGCAGGGTGCTCGCTGTGCCACCTTAAGGCCTGTGCATTCCAACATCAACGAGCCAATCGGGGCTTGAGTGCCCAACGGGCTCGTTGCATGCTCTGGTGCGGCTCGTAAAACACCGGATTAGGCAGGCAAAACACCAGATCCACATGTCACGGCATGAATTAGAATCCTAGGGTAGCATGACTCAGAATCATAGGGTAGAATGACTCACAATCATAGGGTAGCATGACTCACAATCCTAGGGAAGCATAACTCACAATCATAGGGTAGCATGACTCACAATCCTAGGGAAGAACGACTCAAAATCCTAGGGTAACCTGACTCACAATCATAGGGTAGCATGACTCACAATCATAGGGTAGCAAGACTCACAATCCTAGGGTAGCATGACTCACAATCATAGGGTAGCATGACTCACAATCCTAGGGTAGCATGACTCACAAGCCTAGGGTAGCATGACTCACAACACAATCATAGGGTAGCATGACTCACAACCCTAGGGTAGCATGACTCACAATCATAGGGTAGCATGTCTCACAATCCTAGGGTAACATGACTCACAATCCTAGGGTAGCATGACTCACAATCATAGGGTAGCATGACTCACAATCCTAGGGTAGCATGACTCACAATCATAGGGTAACATGACTCACAATCCAAGGGTAGCATGACTCACAATCATAGGGTAGCATGACTCACAATTCTAGGGTTGCATGACTCACAATCCTCGGGTAGCATGACTCACAATCCTTGGGCAGCATGACTCACAATCCTAGGGTAGCACGACTCACAATCCAAGGGTAGCATGACTCACAATCCTAGGGCAGCATGACTCACAATCCTAGGGTAGCATGCCTCACAATACTAGGGTAGCATGTTTCACAATCATAGGGTAGCATGACTCACAATCCTAGGGTAGCATGACTTACAATCCTAGGGTCGCATGACTCACAATCCAAGGGTAGCATGACTCACAATCATAGGGTAGCATGACTCACAATCCTAGAGTAGCATGACTCACAATCCTAGGGTAGCATGACTCACAATCATACGGCAGCATGACTCACAATCCTAAGGTAGCATGACACAATCCTAGGGTAGCATGACTCACAATCCTAGGGTAGCATGACTCACATTCCTAGGGCAGCATGACTCACAAACATAGGGTAGCATGCCTCACAATACTAGGGTAGCATGTTTCACAATCATAGGGTAGCATGACTCACAATCCTAGGGTAGCATGACTCACAATCCTAGGGTCGCATGACTCACAATCCAAGGGTAGCATGACTCACAATCATAGGGTAGCATGACTCACAATCATAGGGTAGCATGGATCACAATCATAGGGAAGCATGACTCACAATCCTAGAGTAGCATGACTCACAATCCTAGGGTAGCATGACTCACAATCATAGGGTAGCATGACTCACAATCATAGGGTACCATGACTCACAATCATAGGGTAGCATGACTCACAATCATAGGGTAGCATGACTCACAATCCTAGGGTAGCATGACTCACAATCATAGGGAAGCATGACTCACAATCATAGGGTAGCATGACTCACAATCATAGGGTAGCATGACTCACAATCATAGGGTAGCATGACTCACAATCCTAGGGCAGCATGCCTCACAATTCTAGGGTAGCATGTTTCACAATCATAGGGTAGCATGACTCACAATCCTAGGGTAGCAGGACTCACAATCCTAGGGTAGCATAACTCACAGTTCTAGCGTAGCATGGCATGACTCACAATCATAGGATAGCATGACTCACAATCCTAGGGTAGCATGACTCACAATCATAGGGTAGCATGACTCAAAATCCAAGGGTTGCATGACTCACAATCCTAGGGTAGCATAACTCACAATTCTAGGGTAGCATGACTCACAATCCTAGGGTAGCATGACTCACAATCCTTGGGTAGCATGACCCACAATCCTACGGCAGCATGACTAACACTCCTAGGGTAGCATGACTCACAACCCTAGGGTAGCATGACTCACAACCCTAGGGTAGCATGAATCACAATCCTAGGGTAGCATGCCTCACAATACTAGGGTAGCATGACTCACAATCATAGGGTAGCATGACTCACAATCATAGGGAAGCATGAATCACAATCATAGGGAAGCATGATTCACAATCCTAGAGTAGCATGACTCACAATCCTAGGGTAGCATGACTTACAATCCTAGGCTAGCATGACTCACAATCCTTGGGCAGCATGACTCACAATCGTTGGGCAGCAAGACTCACAATCCTAGGGTAGCATGCCTAACAATCCTAGGGTAGCATGTCTGACAATCCTAGGGTAGCATGTCTCTCAATCATAGGGTAGCATGTCTCACAATCCTAGGGTAGCATGACTAACAACCCTTGGGTAGCATGTCTCACAATCCTAGTGTAGGATGACTCACAATCGTAGGGCAGCATGACTCACTAACCTAGCGTAGAATAACTCACAATCCTAGGGCAGCATGACTCACAACCTAGGGTAGCATGACTCACAATCCTAGGATTGCATAACTCACAATCCTAGGATTGCATAACTCACAATCCTTGGGCAGCATGACTCACAATCCTATGGTAGCATGACTCACTATCATAGGGTAGCATGACTCACAATCCTAGGGTAGCATGACTCGCAATCCTTGGGCAGCATGACTCACAATCCTAGGGTAGCATGCCTCGCAATCCTAGGGTAGCATAAATCACAATCATAGGGTAGCATGTCTCACCATTCTTGGGTAGCATGACTCGCCATCCTATGGTAGCATGACTCGCAATCATAGGGTAGCATAACTCGCAATCATAGGGTAGCATGACTCACAATCCTAGGGTGGTATGACTCACAGTCGTAGGGTAGCATGACTCACAATCCTAGGGTAGCATGACTCACAATTCTAGGGTACCAGGACTCTCAATCGTAGGGTAGCATGACTCACTAGCATAGGGTAGCATGACTAACAATCCTAGGGTAGCATGACACACAATCCTAGGGTAGCATGATTCACAATCCTAGGGTAGCATGACTCACAATCCTTGGGCAGCATGACTCACAAGCCTAGGACAGCATGACTAACAATCCCAGGGTAGCATGACTCACAATCATAGGGTAGCATGTCTCACAATCCTAGGGTACCATGTCTCACAATCATCGGGTAGCATGTCTCGCATTCCTAGGGTAGCATGACTCACAGTCCTTGGGCAGCATGACTCACAATCCTAGGGTAGCATGCCTCACAATCCTAGGGTAGCATGGCTCACAATCATAGGGTAGCGTGTCTCACAATCCTAGGGTAGCATGTCTCACAATCCTAGGGTAGCATGACTCACAGTCCTAGGGTAGCATGACTCACAATCCTAGGGTAGCATGAGTCACAATCCTAGGGTAGCATGACTCACAATCATAGGGTAGCATGCCTCACAATGATTAGGTAGCATTACTCACAATCCTAGGGAAGCATGACTCACCATTATAGGGTAGCATGACTCACAATCATAGGGTAGCATGTCTCACTATCCTAAGAGTAGCATGACTCACAATCCTAGGGTAGCATGACTCACAATCACAGGGTAGCATGTCTCACAATCCTAGGGGAGTATGACTCACAATCATAGCGTAGCATGACTCACAATCCTAGGGTAGCATGTCTCACAATCCTAGGGTAGCATGTCTCACAATCATCGGGTAGCATGTCTCGCATTCCTAGGGTAGCATGACTCACAGTCCTTGGGCAGCATGACTCACAATCCTAGGGTAGCATGCCTCACAATCCTAGGGTAGCATGGCTCACAATCATAGGGTAGCGTGTCTCACAATCCTAGGGTAGCATGTCTCACAATCCTAGGGTAGCATGACTCACAGTCCTAGGGTAGCATGACTCACAATCCTAGGGTAGCATGAGTCACAATCCTAGGGTAGCATGACTCACAATCATAGGGTAGCATGCCTCACAATGATTAGGTAGCATTACTCACAATCCTAGGGAAGCATGACTCACCATTATAGGGTAGCATGACTCACAATCATAGGGTAGCATGTCTCACTATCCTAAGAGTAGCATGACTCACAATCCTAGGGTAGCATGACTCACAATCACAGGGTAGCATGTCTCACAATCCTAGGGGAGTATGACTCACAATCATAGCGTAGCATGACTCACAATCCTAGGGTAGCATGTCTCACAATCCTAGGGTAGCATGTCTCACAATCCGACGGTAGCATGACTCACAATCCTTGGGTAGCATGACTCACAATCCTTGGGCAGCATGACTCACAATCCAAGGGTAGCATGACTCACAATCCTTGGGTAGCATGACTCACAATCATAGGGTAGCATGACTCACAATCCTTGGGCAGCATGATTCACAATCCTTGGGCAGCATGACTCACAATCCTAGGTTAGCATGACTCACAATCCTAGGTGAGCATGACTCACAATCATAGGGTAGCATGACTCACAAACCTAGGTAAGCATGACTCACAATCCTAGGGTAGCATGACTCACAATCCTACGGTAGCATGTCTTACAATCCCAGGGTAGCATGACACACAATCCTAGGGTAGCATGACTCACAATCGTAGGGTAGCATGACACACAATCCTAAGGCAACATGACTCACAAACCTAGGGTAGCATGCCTCACAATCCTAGGGTAGCATGACTCA